TGATTACATAATTAACAACCAATTTGGTTTAAATTTCAATTCCCATGAAGATCCTCAAATCATACAAAACCCCAACAAACTCTTTGATATGGCTAAGGAAGACATTCATGACATGGACGATGATAGCTCAAATAGTGAAGCACCTATCCTCGAATTCCAAGGAACACCGATTACGATCGAGTTGGAACTATCATACTCAAAGACCATGTCAGGTGAGCTAGCCATCACTCTAAAAGACAAAAATATGGGTTGGATTCAAGGGATAAAAGAAATAACAGAGGTGAACCTTAGGAGTGAAAAAGTCTTGCCTCCGAGAATGGTTACAAAGGATAAAGAAAAACAGACAGCCATTCAAGAAGAGTCAACTCCACTGGTGGAAGAAATGTCAGCACAGGAAGAACCCTAAAGAATAAGTGACAAAGTGGAATATAACGTACTACCCCATCTTCAGAATTTTCCTGCTAAACTAAGCATCTAAGATGCTCTGATCCTGCCAAAGGAGATGAGAGAAGCTCTTGTCAGGGCCTCACTTGCTCCAGAGATTTGCTTAGCTCAATTGGCTAGTAACTCCTTAGACAAGATTTGTTTGTTAACGGAACAATTCGGTGTCACTTTCACAAACGATGACTTGTTGCTCGATACAACTGAACATAACTGACTGCTCTACATTTCAGTTTATATCAATATATTTACACTTTCTAGAGTGTTGGTTGATCTAGGGGCATTAATTAATCTATTGAATCTATGGACGTTAGCCTATATGGACAATGACTCTCACAAGCTCTCAACTTAAAAAATGATGTTGAGAGGATTTAACCAAAAAGGGGAGAGAGCTCTCGGATTGATAACACTATCAATGAGGATTAGTAATCTAGAAACAATTGTAAAATTCCACATCATTGAATAAGAAACATTGTTCAATGCCTTACTTGGTCAAACTTTGATCCATGAATACAAGATGGTCCCGTCGTTACTACACCAGTGTATAAAGTATTCTAAAAGAGGTCAAGACCATTGCATCAAAGGAAATATGCAACCATTCTCAATTCATGAAATTGATATTAACGAAGATGCAACTTACTTCTCTGCTTTAAAGAAAACAGTTTTCTCCGGAACACCTTGCCACTAGAGATTAAAGATACAAAATAATTGCAAAATCGAGACCAACTAACTCCGATTCAACTGCCTTCTTCCACTCACTTGCAACAAGACAACTGGAACTCCTTTATCCCTCGCATCTAAGATCAAAGCCAGGGATGAGGGAAAAGAAGAGTTAACAAGACTATTGACCGAAGGGATCCAACCATCAACTATCAACTGGAGGATAACTCTGAGGAGGAAAAGATAAAGAAGAATGCAATGATAGTCTGTAAGAAGAAGCTCAACTAGAGATCTCTTTAGAGGAAGAAAAGAAAGATGAATATAGATCAATTTACAAAAGAATCAACCACTATGTACAAGCCATGACCCTAATACTAATTCATTCTCACAAAATTGAGGTTTGGAAGTCAAGAAGGTATAAAGTGCAGACATGAAACCAATAGAATTTTATCATGGTTCATCTTCTTCCAATTTTGAAATTAATGTAAAATTAGAAGAGCAAACTTCAAATGAATTAATCAAATTACCTTTTGGCTGCTACTCTCCATATGTTCAAAAGCTTGTTCAGTGTGCTTTAGTGTCTAAATAGTTATTGAAAGAAAGGTTACACCTCTTTGAGAAATTATGAAACACTAAAAATATGAATTTTAACTCAAAAAAGGGCGTTGGATTTGGCATGGTAGGATCAACCAATGACATTGAATTTTGCTCGATTATTAGTTGCGAAGCAGAAGAAGGGTGCCTTGAAGTATACAAAAACTTAGAAGAATCTCAGATCAAAGATGCTCTGCCATAATTTCAAGAAGAGATCAAGTCAACATTTGATGAATTAAGGGAAATAAATATGGGGATTGAGATGAGACTAAACCCACTTTCATCAGCTCATTATTGGATGACAAAGAGTCTTCAGAACTAATCAATTTGTCAGAATTCAGGGAATGCTTTACGTGGAGCTACGACGAAATGCCAGGATTGTCTACAGAGGTTACAGTTCACAGACTTGGAGTGGATCATAATATAACCCTAGTCAAATAAACTCTTAGAAGGATGCACCTCGAAATAGAGCAACAAGTCATTACAGAGGTTAAGAAGTTCATAGAGGTGAACTTTGTAAGAGAGGAGCAATATCCACCATGGTTAGCCAACATAATGCCAGTTAGGAAGAAGAATTGTTAAATCTAAATATGTGTCGATTCCAGAGGCCTAAACAACGCATGCCTGAATGACGAGTTCCTCTTGCCGATTTCGGAACTGTTGGTAGACATTACATCATCGCTTGAAAATTTTTCTTTCATGGATGGATCATCCATATACAAACAGATCAAGATGTCTCCAGAAGATGTGACACTTACAACTTTCAGAACGCCGATCGGGATTTATTGCTACACAATGATGTCATTTAGGTTGAAGAACGCCAAAGCGATAATCAGATAACCATGACAATATTTTTTGATGACCTCATCCACAACCAAGTAGAGTGCTACGTGGATGATTTGGTTATCAAAAGTAAACATATCAAAAGTAAACAATCAAAAGTAAACAATGAGGAGATCACCTGTATACTTTGAGGATTATCTCCACAACCAAGTAGAGTGCTATGTGTATGATTTACTTTTAATTTAATCTTAAAATTAAACCCTTAAAGTGTGTCTTTAGTGTCACATTCGGGAAATTTCTAGGATTTGTTGTACGTTATTGTGGGATTGAAATCTATCCAGAGAAGATTAAAGTTATCTTGAAAATGCCACATCTTAAAACCTTGAAGCAACTACGATCCTTTTAAAGGAAATTGGCGTACGTAAGGTGCTTTATATCTAATCTATTGAGATGGTGTTAGCCCTTTTCCACATTAATAAAAAAGGATGCTAAGTTTGCTTGGGACGAGAAATGATAATAGGCCTTTGAAATCATTAACAATACTTAATGACACCTCTTATGTTAGCAACTCCAATCTCGGGTTGACAGTTGATACTTTATACCGCAGTATTATAAGACTCTCTCGGAGCCCTGGTAGCTCATGTCAACGGCGAGGGTTAGGAAAACACCTTACTACTTAATTCGACATCTATCTTCCCATTAAGAAACATTGTTTAACTTTAATCTTCGCCACTCAAAAGGTTAGGCACTACATGCTTACTCATAAGGTCAAACTTATCTCAAAGGTTAATCCGTTGCAATATTTGATGACCCAACTAACACTTTTCGGACTATTAGTAAGATGGTCAATGGTTTATTGCAATTTGATATAACTTTCATGCCTCTTCGCACTGTCAAGGGACAGATATTAGCAAATTTCCTCGTAGTGCACCCTTCGCCAGCTGATTATTCACACAACGACTTACCAGATGAGCAAGTGATGAATATAGGACATCCTAATGCTCAATGTTGATAAATGTACTTTGATGGAGCTTTGTTATCTCAGAGAAACAAGAATTCACAGACAATAATCCCCAGCAAAGCAGAAATCGGTTTGTTCATCGTTGCACCAGACTAGGGGATGATGAGGTTCTCATACCACCTAACATAGCCATGTACGAACAACAAATCAGAGAATGAGGCCTTGATAACTTGATTAGAATTAGCGATACTGATGATTTAACAAACATTGACATATACGACGACTCACAACTAGTCATTCATCAAGTGGCAAGACATTACAAGATTCTGAAGCCCAGGTAGGAGCAATACCATCATTACACCATGAAGCTGTTAGAGCAAATCCCCAATGTAACGATTACCAAATATTCAAAAGGGATAACACTTATGCAGACACTTAGCCTTGCTCGCTAAGGTGTTAGCATGTCCACCAAAAGATTCAATTAACATCACAATACGAGGACACAAAGTTCTGTCTCATATGAACATGGACACCTTACATAAACTGGGGAATGAAGAGATAGTAGTTGCAGTGGTCGAAGATATAGAGGACTGACGCTGACCGTTTGTTAAGTACTTACAAAATTGGAGATTACCGGAGGACAAGTTAGCAGTACATCATGACAAGAAGAGAGTGTTGTTGTACGCCTTAGTGCATAACGTTTTATATAGAAGATCTTTCGATCAGATGTGATTAAGGTGTTTAAGCAAGTCAGAAAAACAAAAGATCTTCAAGGAAGTACATGCAGGACTTTGCGGTGCTCACCAATCATACCCGAATATGAAGATGAAGATTAAAAAGATGGGGTACTATTGACCAGCCATGATGATCGACTGCATGAACACTGCCATAAGCTGGCATCAACAACAAATATACGGAGTGGTTCTACATCAACCTTCGCATGTGCTATACCAGACGATTGCGTCATGAACATTCAAATGCTTGACCAAATGAATCAAACATGAGTTTCTTAAAAAGTCGAACACAAGCTGTTCGCAAACAACAAGCCATTTTGACAGCTCTAGTTGGGAGTAGGGCGATAGGACGCCTTGGTTGTCTGGTCATCTTCTGGGCCGTCTGAATGCTTTGAGATTCAGGCTGACAGTTGTGGCGTACACTCTTATAATTCGCTATTTTAGAACTATTTTGATTTCAATATTGTATTATATCAACCTTTTTGCTTGCCTTGTATAATTTATATTCAAGTTATTTTTTTTACTTTACAAAAGTAATATTTAAACAGTATTTGAATGTTGTTAAAATATGACACAAGATTTGAATATAGTTCAATATAAATTTTTAACAAGACTTAAATATGATTCTAACAATACTGAAGTATGGGTCAATTTGAACTTATTGAAGATAATAAACTTTAGATAGTTAATTCATGATAAAAAACAGGAGCATTTTAAATAAAATAAAATTTTAGCATATTTTTTAAAAGAAAATTAGTCACTCAAATATATACTTTTTAAAATTTTCATTATCAAAGGAAATTTATAAACAAATTATGAAGAAGCGCACACCATCAATTTCTTCGGCGAGCCTCATCCAGCATATTGTCATTCAATTTTCGCCGCAAAAACCCAGTTATAATCCCCTCAGCGCGAACCATGGAGGTCCAGCTTCTGCATTCTTCCATATGCCCAAACCGCCCCATTGTCTTCGTCGCTAACCGCCCCATTGTCTCCGTCGCTAACCGCCCGGAGGCTCATCGGCTCGCTTTTGTCCAGAGCTGTTTCTCCTCCTCTGCCGGCACCGGAAGCAGGGTCAAATGTGGAGAAAATAGCGACACTGCCATCACGCCTCCCAAGGCTACTCAGCAGAGGAAATCTTATCCTTTTGGTGAGATTGAACCTCGGTGGCAGCGCTACTGGGAGGAGAACCGAACGTTCCGCACGCCGGATGAAGTAGATATGTCCAAGCCCAAGTGTTACATTCTTGATATGTTCCCTTATCCGAGGTAATATTATTTCTTGTTCTATACTTTAGCAGAGTTTATGATTACACAATTACTATCAGGCATGAGGCAAGGGATAAAGAGCACTTTTTGGTTGTGTTTGGTAGCACATTTGAATATGATTTATCACTGGATTAATCAAATCCAGCCAAATGCAAAAATACAAGGGTTCCGCAGATTTATCAATTTTGCGGATTTAAGGGTCAAAATTTTGTCTTTGATTTGGCTTTAAATCTTGATTTATTAAATCCATGGGGAGAGTGGATTTAACGGATTTACATTCTTCAGATTTACTAAATCCTACTAACGCTAAATCCTACTTGCAGCCAAACACCCCCAAAGTTTTTCTCTTTTTATATTGTTTTTATATTAACTCGCGGTAAGTTATTTTTTTCTTCTATGTGGAATTATGGTAATGGATCGAAATATACTTGTTGGAAGAGTTTGAAATTATCTGATGGATGTTTGATTTTGATTTGTTCATAGATTCACACCGCAAAATAAAGAGCTTTAAAATGGATTTAGAGCATAGAAAACAAAAGTGTAAAGTTCAGGTAGACTAGTATCAGCCTTTACCCCCAATCCCCGAAAAATCCCCTTATTTTGCACTAATTACCTTACTTATAGAAGGATTAGGGTGAGAGACTGATACTTGTTTTCTTAAAATTTTCATCTCTATTCTCTATGCTCTAAGTTACTTTTATAGCTCTTTTCTTGGTGATGTTAATCCAAGGGCAAATTAGGATCAGACATCCCAAAAGTTGTGATGAGCGTGGATTATGCCATGGATAAATCATGACCCAACACATTGCTAGCTTAATTTTGAGTTGAAGCTGAAAATTATTTTATTTTCCGAGTGTTGAATTGTAACTTACATAATATACTAAATATGAGTACTCCTACTGAAGCCTGTGTAGTTGGATTAGTTTTTTTTTTTTTTGGTTGGGTTGTGTTTTCCAAATTTGTTGAAGACAGGTCTGCCTGTGGCCTTATGTCTACTTAATCTAATTTACTCTGGAGTTTATTGGTCAATTATGCTCATAAGTAATAAGGAAAGAACATCATTATGTTTGCATGCCTTTTCTTTGAAACTTTCGAGGACAAAAAAACTACTAATAAGATTATTTTTTTGTTTACTTTGATTACCTTTTCTTGTTTTAGAATCTTTATCTTCTTTTATCACAAATACAATCTGTAGTGAATGGTTTTGTGTATGCACTGTCTTACTTTCCTTACTGATCAGTTGAATCTTGTTTTAAACTTAATAATTACTGACTTCATCGTTTTACTGCTTTCTTGGTACTTAGGAGGGCCTAATTTGCAGAGGAAACATCTCACATTGCTCATTTTATTTTTGATAGTTAACAATTTTGTTTCACTTATTGGCGAGTTGCTTTTTTATAATAGGTAAATTTATGGTTGGTTATTTTCTCTAAAAAATGGATTTAATTTAAAATCAATGTACTATATTTGAATATAGTATATTTGAAATATTATTTTCATTGTTTGGTTAGGTGTAAAACAAATATATGATTTTACTATTGTTGTCCAGTTTGAAATAAAACAAAATAAAAATAAAATATAACCAACTAGCGGCTACTAGCAGGTTGCAACAACCAGATGAGATGGGTAGCTACGAGCAACAGCGGTAGTGGGGGTGGATATGACCATCTGGAGCTACAACAACATGAAATTGTTGGTTGATGTGGAGCAAGTTTGTATTTTCATGCTTTAAAAATCATAAATCACTCTTTAGTTTAGTTTGATGTGGGAAGACATGAATTTGTCGGAGAGAGACTAATGACAATTGAACGAGAAATAAGTTAACTTATTTTTCAAAGTGAGGTGAATTTATTCTGATTTTATTAAAAAGCATTTGTTAATGCTTTATGATGTAACTTTTATTTTACAAAAACTTTCCCAAAAGTCTTTATGCACTATTTTGGAATTGTTTCTAATTTTAAAATTTTTAATCCGATTGATGGTGGCACTTATATGGAAATATAAAGAAAGATGTATTCTTACTATTGCATTTTTGTGCCACTTCTCTTTCTAATTTCTCTTGTATTTATGTTTTTTTTTTGTTGGTGACAATTTTAATGAAATTCATGACATAATAAATTATTCAACAAGTTTATGTTTCTATGCAATCTTCTTTTTCGGTTTTTTTTTATTTGAAATTTTTATTAGTGCTTGTTTTCATTTTCTTTATTTTTTTCCAAAATCTTTTTTTTTAATGTCTATAATTCTGGATGATTTTTTGTAGTATTTCCTCATCATCCTGTCAAGGGAGTTGTAGAAGTAGACTATCTTGCCGTGCTAATAAAAGCATTTTGGGTGCAGAGCACGGGGCGTTGCCATAAAACTTCTATCCCAAAGTCTAGTAAAAAATGTCTCTCTGCTATTTCAAAATGGTTCAAACGGTTCACACTAAAGATGCTTGCTAAGATTTAATCTCATAGTGAGCTAGGGAGAGGGAGGCAAAGAAAAGAAGAGGGGGTTTTGGCACTCGCCTGCTTGTGGGTGGAAGCATCAATAGAGGGAAGAAGTGTGGAGAATAAGAGAGAAAAATAAGGGAAACTGGGACTTGTTTGATTTATAGAAGTTGATTATATTTTTAAATAGTTATGGAGAGATCTGCCCTCCAATAGAATGGCAACAAGTGTTACGACTTTATACCAACATGTGGGAGAGTCATGAAATGTTACCGAGAATTCTTTGTTCATAAATTTTTGGGTGGAGGATGTGTCGAAGGCCTACTTACTAGTTTCACTTTTTGTCTGCATTTGTCATTTTGACTTCATAGGCCACCCATAGAAAAGCTTGCTCTTAAAATGAAGCACCAGTCAACAAACTACTATTTTATTTATTTATTTTTTTGATTTTTTTTTTCATATTTACATACACATTCTTCTACAAAATAATTGCAACTTTACGTTTACAATTTATTTTATATTTAATATCAATTTATTTCAATAATAATAATAATAATAATAATAATAATAATATTATTATTATTATTATATTTTATAGGTTTTAACTGTAAAATAGTCCCCTAACTATTTGTTTAAGAACAATTTGGTCTTAGAGTATCACACCTCCAATTTAGTCTCTCAAATATGCAAATTAATCCAAACTGCTCTCCCAAGGGCTAAAAATGAATCAAATATGTATATTCGAGGTACTAAAATAGGATCAATATTTTATCAAAATTTCTACATATGAGTCTGTTTTAGATTTGTTTTGTAAAGTCAAGGGACAAAATTGGACACTGTCATAATCTACACAACACATGAGTAGTTGGGGGACTCTTTTGGATTCTAATCTTATTTTATTCTCCATGAGGATTTGCTTATATGTGCGAGTTAAATTCTCTTCTTGTTTGGAGATTCTTTTTTCTATCACAACAAGAGTAATATCGGGCTTTCTTTTTTGTACAATTTTAGCATTTTGATTGCATCAGGACAGCCTGTTTGACAAAATTAGGGGTGCATTTTGGAACTTATAAGCTGATTTCCTGTAAAACCACATCCATTTGCTTCTATCGTCATTCAAATCACTTATGTAGGTCATAAGCATGCTATGGAATCCCTTTTAAAATTTGTTAATGGAAGTCTAGCTATACAAATAGAAAGCATTCTAGAGTGTATAGGCAAAAATTATTTAACAACCATCTGTTTAAAGTAACGATGTTGAATTGTACTTGCATATAAATTATACTGTAGCTATTTATGAAATTTTGCTGTTAATTATGAATTTAAAATTATACAGAGATAGAAGGATGCTATTTTGTGCTTTGGATGCCTATTTTTGATCCTGGACGTATGAGAAACTTTAGTGGATCAAGGAGCCAATAGCTTCGCATCTGCTAAGATTTTGGACTTTAGCCTGTTCAACGACTTATGTTAACTATTAAGGAAAAAGTATTGTAAAAATTGGAGGTTTAAAGCATAAAAACATTTTGTTCCATTTGAGAAACTTTGCTGCAGTTATGTGGACTTTGCTCACTACTTTTGTGTGTTGGTATCAACTAAAATTACAGAGTATTTATAAATTCAGACTGTCTTATGTACTAAGCATTAAATGCTGTATAACTAAACATAAACTTTCTAAAAATGACTTGGGAAATCATTGAAATCGTTTTATTTTTCTAGTTTGCATAAGTTCATTTATTGACATAAACTTTCTAAAAAAGACTTGGGAAATCATTGAAAGTTTGCATAAGTTCATTTATTGATAAGTTCATTTATTGACATAAACTTTCTAAAAAAGACTTGGGAAATCATTGAAATCGTTTTATTTTTCTAGTTTGCATAAGTTCATTTATTGCGCTGCATGGAATTTGAAGCAAAGCATGCATGTGTTGCAGTGGTGCTGGATTACATGTTGGTCATCCCCTAGGCTACACCGCAACAGACATTTTAGCACGATACAAGCGCATGAAAGGATTCAATGTTTTGCACCCAATGGGTTGGGATGCATTTGGCCTTCCAGCTGAACAATATGCCATTGAGGTTTGATAGACATATGTTATTAGTTTTTTTTGGCTTTATTTTTGAGTGTTAATTGTGTAGTTGATGATCAGACAGGTACCCATCCCAAGGTCACAACGATGCATAACATTAGACGGTTTCGATCCCAGGTACTTTGGAGCTAATTTCCATTCTTGGAAGTGCATTATGTGAGATTTGTTACTTTATTGCAAGGAAGCCTTCTAGAAGACATATCTTGATTTTCAGTTAGATTTCCAATTAGTTTTTCTTCGCTTTGCTTTGTAATTGTATACCTTGAAGCAATTTTGCAGAATGCTTGTTATTTTTAGTTTCCAACTTTTTGTTGGTAGCAGGGGTGGAATCTATGGATATAATTGTGAGTTGTCATCCGTTACGTGATTCTACATTTAGATTCACCTTTCTAATCAATTGAAGACACTAGTCATGACTTCTCAGTCGTTGTCTTGGTTGAAGCAAGAATTAGTAAAAGAAAATGGTGATGACGACGACGACAACAACAACAACAACAACTACAACAAGCCTTTATCCCACTAAGTGGGGTCGGCTGCATGAATCCTTCTCTCCATTGTATCCTATTGAGCGTCATATTTTCATTCAATTCTATTAAATTAAGATCTTTTTTTATAAAATATGCCCAAGTCTATTTAGGCCTACTCTTGTGAGAAGGATTTTATTTTTTCAATGCATTGATGTGCTTGTAATTTTCTTAAACTTATAGGTTTGAGCATGTTTGACATGGTAAAAGTTCCGCTGGAAGTTATGAAGTATTTTTTTGTTGAAGATGATGGTGTAATCAATCCTTAGAGCTATAACATCATTCTTATTGAATATAATTAGCCATTAACATTTATTTAAGCACTCACACGCTTTTTGGTTCGTATGATTATGAAGAATAAGTGGAATTCTTGCTTGAGCCAAAAATGTAGTAAATTGTTGAAGATGATGGTGTAATTATAAATTGGACAACTTTCATGGAAAAAATGAGATGATTTTGAGGAATGATTTTATGAAAGGTATGTGAAAGAAGCATATATTAAAGATAACATAATGAAAATTAGAATTAGATGGTTGGCAAATGCTCAACAATGGTTAAAAAAACCACCCATTTGATTTGTAGATAAAATTATTCTCTAAGAATTAAGTAAAATGACATGATTGATGCCGATGAAGCTAATACTCAAGCTATGACAACCAAATCAAGACTGTCATAGGGAACAACAATACATTCCCTTGAAACTCAATAATTATATCATTCGGTATCAAAGAGCTGGGATTTTTATGCATGCAAAAAATAATGGTGGAATTTAATTTTATAGTTTCTTATTTGGGGGGAAAATGTCATTATATATCTCGGAGCACATATGGGTGGGAAAAAGATATGATGAAAAAACTCTATGGAATAACATGGGAAATTGCTTTAATACCTAGCAAAATTATGTGGAAAACTTTATTTATTCAATTCTTCAAAGATTTTTTAGTATTAGCTAGGTATTAATAAAGCAGATGAATTGTAGTTTTTCATGAACTATGAAAATATTTTCTTAAACAAAAACAACTAAAAATATAAATCAACGAGGCTTGACCTTAATATTTGAATTTAGATTTCTTCCCACGTTTAATGAGAGATGGAAAGAACAATGTCATGATTGTTGAGATGGATGAAGTAATCCAAAAAACCTCATAGGCAGATGCATTCAGATGAACTACAACAACAACAAGAACAACAATAACAATAACGGGCCTTTATACCACTAAGTGGGGGTCGGTTACATGAATCCTTTTTCTCCATTGCATCCTATTGAGTGTCATATTTTCATTTAATTCTAACAGATTAAGATCATTTTTTATATAATATGTCCAAGTTTTTTAAGGTCTACCTCTGTTTTTCTTAACATCAGTCGAAGCTAAAACATCTGCTCTTCTAACTGGATCATCAGATGATTGACGTTTAATGTGACCAGACCATCTAAGACGACTCTCTCTAATCTTGTTCGCTACCAGAGCTACACCAACCCTATCACAGATATATTCATTTTGCATTTTGTGTCCAAGTGTCAGGCCACTCGTCCACCTAAGAAAGCCACTCATCCACATAAGCATTCCCATCTCACCAACACTTAACTTTATTTTATGTTTCTCTTTAAAAGGCCTACATTCTGTGCCATAAAGCATTGCAGGTCTCATCGCAATCTTATAAAATTTTTCTTTCAGTTTAAGCGGTACTTTTCTATTACACAATAGACCCCGAAACATTTCTCCACTTCAACAAACCAACTTGAACTCTACTAATAACATCCCCATCTATATCACCATCACTCCGAATAATAGACTTGAGATATCTAAAATATTTACATTTTTTAATGATTTGAGCACCCATAGTTACAACTTTGCCACTAGAGCTACTACTACTAAAATTACATTCCATATTATCAGTTTTAGTTCTAGTCAAACAACGACCTTTAGACTCTAATGTAGACCTCCATAATTCAAGTTTTTCCTCAACTCTTTCTCTAGTCTTATCCACAAGAAGGATTTCATTAGTGAAAAGCATACACCAAGGTACATCCTTCTATAAATGTCCAATAATCGCATCCATAACTAAGGCAAAAAGATGCGGGCTTAATGCCGATCCATGAGGTAATCCATCTAAAATAGGAAACTACTTGGTCAATCCTCTTTCTATTCCTACACAAGTAACAACTCTAGTAGACATATCTTTGATGAATTGAATATAAGTCATATCAATACTTTTTTTTTCTATAGAACTCTCTAAATGACTTCTCTTAGAACCTTATTGTAAGCTTCTTTTAAATCAATAAAAATTATATGTAGATTCTTTTTATTTTTTCTGTTTTTCTACTTCTTTTAATTATCTAAGCTTTTACATTTAATTCAGTTTTTATAACACAATTTTTTATATCTTATCTTATCTTTCATATTATTATTCCTATACCATCTATTTTTATTTATATTAATTTTTTCTTTTGATTCTCCAAATATATCTTTTGCCACATGTTTAATAGTGTTTGTTACTTTTTCCCACACAAAATTTTCTTCTTCATGAACATCCCAAATCTTGAAATGTTGAAGTTTTCTCATAAAAATAAATTTATTTGTGTCTTTTAAGTGTCTCTATCCAACTCTATGACAATGATTCCGAGTATTTTTTATCTTACAACTTTTTTTCTTAAAATTCAATTGATGTTGAGTATTTAAATCTCCACTTGAATTGACCTTACAATCTTTACTTTCTTGACGATCTCTTCTTCTCATAAAAAAATAATCAGTTGTGTTTTATTAGATTCATTCTCATAAGTAATAATATGCTAATCTCTTTTCTTAAATAAATTATTAGCAATAACAAAATCATAAGTTAAAGCAAAATCTAATATGTTGTACCTTCTTCATTAATCACTCTTCCAAAAATATAGTCATCATAAATATTTCTAAAATCTTCTATCACTCTACTAACATTTCCATATGTAATAAAAAGTCTTTCTTTAAGAGTTAACATTTGTATTAATTCTTCTAGTTCATTTTAGAATTTTTCTTTAGAACCTATATCTAAACCTCCTTGAGGAGCATAAACACTTATCACATTAAAAATTTTAGTATCAACAACAATTATAAGGGCAATAATTCTATCTTCAATTCTACTAATTTTTACAATATTATCTTTCAAGCTTTTATCTATAACTACACCTACATTTCTAGTGTGACTCCTATCTGAATATCAAAATTTAGAACCTATGCTATTAATCTCTTTAGCCATTTCTCCAATCCATTTATTTCCTTGAATATATAAAATATTTATCTTCTTATGAACCATAATATCAACTAATTCCATTAATTTGTCTGAGTGTACCTATATTCTAAGATCTTATTCTAATATTAGTTTCATGGACTAACTTCTTCACTCGCATTTGTCAGTAATGTGTGAACCCTTGCTTATTTGACATTATACCCGAGTGCCAGTGTAGCGACGCTTGCATACTTTTCTCTATGTTCAGGCCATACAGCACGTCGTTTTCAGGGGACACACTAATATTTATAAAAAGGAATCATGTTATGATTTTTCCACGAAATTTATGTTGGCTGTCGACCTCCTAACGCTACCATCTACATTCACATACGGGGTAGTGTTGACCTCATTTTTGTGAGGTCCTTCCTTCTTCTTCATAGATCCTAAGATCTAGCTTTAAGAATTCCTGTTGACCATCTTAGAAAACTAGAAATTGGTACCCACCATTTTAGAAATTCCAAAAACACTTCCTATTTTTCTGTGATGTCTAACATTTATTGTCTAAAACCATCGTCTTCTGTACGAGCGGTTAAGGGATATTGTGTGGAGACTCAGAGAGAAGTTCCCAATAGGATTTCAAGCCCTGGGAAAACCTCCTCACGACGTTATTGTCACATACACACACCAAATGCACAAAATTCACAAAATTGCATGAGATCAGATTTCAATTGAGCCTAAAGGACGAGTGAAAATGCGAACTTCTCCGGACAAACTCCGACGACAAAATGGACTGCGCCAACGTGTCCGAGACACTGATTTTGGTAGGAAATGACATCCATATTGCCATATTTTTGACATGAGAAAATTGACACGCAAATTGATGAATTCGTCAAAACGACTTCCGGTGGCGAAACAAACCCATTTTTGTTGTGTTGTGATGCACAAATAAAAATACGAATTAAATTTTATTTTTAAGAAATACTAAATTATTTTTATATGTTATCACTTATATTATTATAATCCCATTAAAACCTAAGCCTTATTTACGGCTCCACCAACATGTCTAAATCATCGTTCTAGCGGCTCGATCCCGCGGCTCATCCCGCTCCTCGCCTGTGCCCTAGCTCCATGGCAGATCCATGCGGCAGTCTTCTTCCCCAGCGTTCGCGACTCGCCTCCTCGAGCTCTGCTCGACCGAGCAGCCTTCCAACCGTGAAATTCCACCTAGCAGACCCTTCTCCTTCTCGAGGCTATACGTTCTCCTCATTTATGGTGTCGATTTCTTCCTCCCGCTCGATTGGTTGGCCAGGGCGGCAAACAGGTGGCTTTTTTCTTTTCGTTTCTCTGGCTATTAGCTTACCGTGAGGATTAGGGGGGTTGGGTTGG